AGAAAGGCACTTTAAGGGGATTAAACAAGATTGTGCTCTCCACAGCCTCGTGCACCAAAGAGACAAATTAGAAAGGGTATTACTTCATTGCATGTAACAAGTTGGGCTTGGATGAAATGCTAATTGCATTTCAAAAGAGTTCCCAAAACAGAGGACGGGGGAGTATTTTCACGGGAGAAGAAGCGGGGCTTGACGATTCACTGACCAGGACACAATTTTAAGGAGCAGGCTTTTGTTCGCTCCTTTCTGTGCATTTTTCAAAATTGCCACAGTTCTCTATTCTTTTGTTTCTTCCTCTCCAACAGAATCCAAACCATCCTATTCAGACCCCCTTCTTTTCTCTCGGCTCTACTTTATCACTCCCGAACAAGGGCATACACAGCACACACATCCTGGGTACAGTAGGTGTGGGAGAGCTCCTCTTTCTAAAGGCCAGATGGCGAGATTGAAGAGGAAGCAAATCCCTGAAGTGTGGTCAACGGATTCCTTTTGTTATACAGAAAAATAATGAAAACGGTTGTGCTGATCTAGCTCGTCATCAAACTTGTTGTCGGTCCGGATATAAACACAACAGTCTATTTGAAAGATATCGGAGCTTTTGTTGAATGGTGTTTCCATGTAATATGAACATATTTTCTTCCTCAGTGTTTCCCAGATGACACGATGAAACACACAACAATGCAGGGTGTGTGTTTTGTATTCATCATGCCTGAACTTTTGAGATGTTTTACCCATAAAACCGTGATCTATAATAACACACAGCCTGTGGATGAACACATCCTCCATCCCCACCCATTGGAGGGATTCCTCTTTCATGATCGACGACAGTAGAATGAGGGAAATGAGAGATAAACAGAGAAAGACAAGAGAAGAAAGAAAGAGGGGCTGGTGTAAAGACCGGGGGGGTTGCAGAGTATGCGTGTGTGCTTTGGGATGAAATAATACAGAATGGGTCCGACACACAGATTAGGGTGGCGGATAGAAAAGGTTGATAGGGTAATGTAAATAACTAAGGGTTTTGGTAGGCTGATCTTAAAGAGTCATTGACCTGCATCAACAGGTTTATGTTTTGAAAAGGCACCCAACCCTTCAGTCTCTCGTTCTCTCTCGCACTCACACACACACACACACACACACACACACACACACACACACACACACACACACACACAAAGTAGCCGTGAAAGGCTGTAGCGGCAGCAACAAAGAAGGGAAGGGTATAGGGATGGATAGCCATGATGTGCTTACGGTCGAACATGAAGTGTGACCCACTCAACCTGACCAGTCTATATTAGGACAGGAAGCAAGGGCCATTATGGGTGTTCCACGTGGCTCCCCCAAAAGCATCTCGGTGAGGCAAAGTCATGGGAATTTATCGCCCTACAGAAAGACCCACGTGGGGGTCCGCGCGTTTCAAGAAAGGGGTCAGTGAAGAGCAACAAAACACAGTGCTCATTTATCAAATAAGGCTGCGGGAGCAGGTTTATGGCTTCAAAAAAATAAGTCATAGAATGATCAAAAAAAAAGAAGAGAATTCTTGCTTTCAACAGTCAGCAAGAATTAATCTAATTTGTACAAACTACAGAGTCTAGCCATGCTAATGTGAACCAGAGGAAACAGCTTTCCTAAATGTTCTTTTACTTCTCAATATGTTTTGACATTTGAGAGAAGGATGTCGCTCTGTGGGATTCCTGCAGATTTTTCATGCAGTTTCCAAGTTAAAATGAAACATAGCTGCTCTGGTTTAATTGTATTTATATTCAAGAAATATTGGAAATGAAGTTACTGTTATAAAGTAATCCAAACATTTATATTATTGTTGTACCCAATAGAAAATATGTAAATGTGATAGTCTCCACACTCATCATAGCAGGGAAAGGCTGACCAATCTTAGGCCATCGACTTTACTAACATCACAAGAGGTCAGAGTTCGAGTTTAATACTTGAATGGAAATGCTAGGGCGCTGTGGGAGGGCACCTCATCGCTCCTACAGAGTGCAAGGTATAACAATAAGCGTGTGTGTGTACGTACGTACAAACGTGTGCATGTGCAATTAATAGTACAATTATGAGAGTTGACAGCAAGGTCATGGCCCAGGGTTTGCTGCAGAGACAATACCAGCATCCTTTCTCAGGGAATAATATGCGGTTGGTAAGACCCACTAAAAAGACCTGTGGCTTGATGGCTGAGGACCAATAACCTTCCTGTCCCCCAGCTCCAAGAACAATTACTAAAACAGGGTATCGTCTCCCGTGCGTGCGCATGAACTCTAATGTTTTTTTCAACAAAGTACCAAAATGCCAAAGAACATTATAAAAAACAAATTTACAACATTATTTTGTCTGCTTTTTATATCTAAAAATCTGCATTTTACCGTGGGTTTTCAACTAAAGGATTCAAATTAGTAATTATTTTCAGGTTTTCTGATATTTTCCTGGATTTGAAGGGTCCTCTCAGACCTTATTCTTCATACATCCTCCATTCCTGCCTTAATTATACCATCTGCCCACAGCAATACATTATTTTCCCAAATTGCAAAACGGACCCCAAACAATGAGATTGCACACTAACTTCTGGTTTGGAATAACCTAACCTAAACATCAAATCTGCTAAATATACAGCACAGAAAAACCTTTTATTTCAAAAAGTACCAATAAATCATGACTACATGGCAAGTGAAAAACACTTCGGTAGGTTCCAGTTTGTATCATTGCTGTTTTTAATCAAAATGGGCTCATTATAATGTAGACTAAATATATTTAAAAAGGTATGGAGTATCTCTCTTGGCATATAAAAAACGTTATAGTTTTATTATATTAAAATTATATTTTATTTAAATATTTGTAATATGTGGGCCACCACCTAAATTTATTTTTGCAACACTCGTATGTATAATTGTAATAAACAAATGTGCAGCCTTGATACCTTCCACATGCTGTGCCTGCACAAACAAAGTACTACATCAATCAAACATGATACATCTGTCTCACTCCAAGAATAAAGGATTGTTCTGTTGCATGGCACTTCTGAAAGAAAATGGTAATTTGAGGGAGAAGGGGGAACATTGGTGCAACATTTTATCCTCTCAAGGTGTGGAAATGAAAAACAGACCATAACTAATACGAGGTGTAGGTCTGCTGGTTTTCTCATCTCACATCATGAAACGTGTAAATGCAGAACACTCACTGATGCAAAGTCAAACCTTTTGTGGTATTTTTACTAGGACGCGCTAAATAGCCTAAATTAACATTATCCATTTTTGGCTGCAGAAAACATGTAAGAAAGCAACCAATTAACTTGTGTTTTAACATAAACAATTTGGGCTTCATAGATAAAGCCCAGGAAACGTTTCGACTCAGCGTTTTAAAGGCATCCTTTACATCTCTTACCCCCAGCAGTGCTCCATGGTGCACATATCAGCGGAGACAGGCACAGCCTGTTGCAAGGCAGCATTGAGAACTGTGAGATCTATTTCCCCCTATTCCAACACACTGGGAAGACAAGCCTTCTCACCCCCAGCAAACATCAATCTCATTCTGTCTGCAACATGCAACACTTCAACATCATTCATCAATGTTTAGGCTCCGTTTATGGCGATGTCCCCTTTTGTACTGTGCAACTATTAGAGGGGGGAGACCGGACTAGAGCGAGGCAGGCAGTAAAACAGTTTCCGCCCAGTGAATCACATTCAGATCCTCACACAGGCGACTGGGGGCTGACCCCTGCCAAGCGATGACATAAACACAGACAAACAAAGGACCTGAGCTCTGAGCAAGTGTGGATCTTAGAGGATGTAAATTCACGCAAAAAAAAAGACTGTGACCCAAAGGTTTGGGATGATGGAAATAGAGATTTTAGGTTTGAAGGGTCGACGAATGACGATTTTTCATGGCAAGTTTTGCTGCCTCTTTACAAACAAAGGGGCGTTCTGCTCAGCAGATCCAATAACGTCTCCATTTTAAACAAAGATATAGTCCAGAAACAGTTAACAGCGAGGGCTGGTGCAACGGAAGAGCAGGTGTAAGTGCTGAATGGATACAGAAGCAGCTCCCTCCCCAGAGAGAAAAGGGATTTAACACTGCTGAGGCACCACGGAGGAGGCAACAAAAGAGATTTGCAAGGGACGCACCAAGATGACATCACGTCAAAGCAATTAGAAATAAGAAAATAAGGTGGACATATTCAATTATTCATGGGAGAAAAAAAAACACCCCATCAACTGGTGTAAAACCACGAAGCCGGCACGTCTGAGTTAAATACGAAAAAGAAGCATCTCCGCAATTAGGCTTCAGGCACCACTCGCTGATTCATCAGTAACAAGCGCATGTGCGCAACTTCGAGTGTGCCAAGATTACTTACGGCCCGAGTAAGCCTATAGATTAGTCAACGGAGCCCCTATGAGAGGGTCTCCAGCTCACCATGTGTGGCAGTTCCCCCCTGAATTGTTGTTTTATTTCGGTGGGAGAGAGAGAAAGCCACACAAAGCGCAGTGATCACACTGGAGATCCTGGATGTAACCATGGAAGCGTTTGTCCGCGTCCTCAATGGGCTCCTCGGCCATTCATTTACTGATTGCGCTGAATCAATATTTAGGCTTTTCAATTTTATTAGCTGCTCCGAGGGGGGGGATTGTTGGCACGATGCAAAAAGGAATTAGCAGCGGCCAACCACTTTTAATCGTTTTGTTATAGTGTTGGACAATATGTCCGCTTGAGCCGTCTGGCATAATTGATGAGGAGTGTCGCTAGTCGTTTGTTTCTATTATGTCCTGGACTATCAACACACCGCTATAACGCCTCGAGCAATCACTACTGACTGACTTACTAAAAACAAAAAACACTGAGAGGTTCGCGTGGTCCCAGAGGCGCTAAAGCCATGTGTCATCCTATAAAATCAATCCGGCAAAAGTTATGACGCTGGTCGCCACACATCCGCACTCACGAAGACAAACAGAAGCCTGCACTTGAAAAGAGACTTGCGATGCATTATTCAAACTTGCCTGACACCTTCCTTGGATTCCCCGTCCGAGATAAATTACTTGAGTGTATCTAATGCCGGCGATCACATCGATGAGTCCTCTCGGGAGTCTGTGGGTCCTTCTCTTCGCTTCCTCCCTCCGGCGGATCGGGGATCCCGCTCAGCTACACGGGGTGAAGCGTGGGTGTCATCATGCGGGACTGATGCCGGGGGGGGATACCGGAGACTTGAGAGGAATCCCCGTTTTTTTTTTTTAAGGACCTTCTATTCTCTCTATAACCCGCTCGTTCCTCCCGCGGCCATGTGAGAGCCACTGCTGCTGTACACTCACTCACTCACTGATCCAACGCGAAGGTTTTGCAGCGACTCGGGGATTCCAGTTCGTCTCCCGGTCTCTGCCTAATGAGACACGATGTTTTAATCCCATTTGTCTCTGGTGGGGGCTCGGTGTGGTGATGGGGCAGCGCCGCACTGTGGCCCGGACAGGCAGAAACCCGAGTAAACTGCTCTCAGCTTGTATTGTGGTCACTCAACATAAACTTCTTCATTTAGTTATTTCAAATTTGAAAAAAATACACAACCCGCCAGCTAGGGGCGTTTCTCTGCACAGCCATAACGTTGTTGGCTGCCAGCTGAGTTAAAAGGCATGAAGTAATTTGAGCTGATGCTAACCGTTAATGTAGCTAAGCTAACGCTAACTGTAACGTTAAGTTAAGTTTAATTATACATTTACATTTTTTAATTTAGCTGACGGCTTTATCCAACGCAACTAACAATATGCATATTCAATCACATGGGTACATACCAATAATACGAATAATGAAGAAAGAACTACAACAACAGAACTACAAAGTGCTGAACATGCTAACCTTGTGTTAGCATGCACTCCCGGTAATTGGCCTTTTATCTACCAACTGGTTAAGTTGAATTTACTCAATTGAATTAATGAATAAAGTTAAGTTTAGGTAAGCAATTAATTTGGTTGGTATGGATATTAGTTTAAATGTCTGACTGAATATTATAATACGAACTTCATTCCAAATGTTGCAAGTCTGTTGGTTCACGTAATAATCACAGCAATGACTACGCTGACCTTTAGCGCCATCTCGCGGTTTAAAAGCAGAGGACAATGTTGGAGGCGTCAGTGGTTACGTCACTACGTCAACATTTTGTTGACGTGGCGTGAGCGGTAGCTGTTGAACGGTAGCTAGCAACCAAGAAAAAAGCAAGACTGAGGCCGAAGATAATCTCGTGGAAATATGGATATAATCCCGTTCAATTGACTGGTCGTGGCTTGCATTTTCAGGTAATATGTCATTGATGAACTATGACAACTGACTAATATGACTGTACAAACGTTGCTAACGTTAGTCACACAACATATGGTGGACCCTAGTTAGCACTAGCCCGATGTTAGCTCATGCAGACGGTTTCTTAGTTTGCGAACTGTGGATGTGCACTGTACATCTTGATATCATCCGATTTCAATTTAAAAGCTAGCATTAGCTTACTCAGGCCGTTTCTTTGATGGCCTGTGTTATTTAACTCTAGTTGTTCCTCCTGGACGACGATGTCGACTTGGCGTTTGTAGAGCGAGAGTCTAGCCTTAGCAATGTTGATCATAGTCAATTTCTTAATTACGGACACTTTTTTGTATTTTAAATAACCCTAACCCTTGTTAATCACTCTCCCGTTTCCTTTTTAAAACAAGATGATCTTAGACGTGTGTCAAGTGAACGTATTAGATTGCCAGCTGCTAACATTACATTACCTAACGTTTAAAGTACGCTAGTTATCCGGAACAAAATCTGCAATTGCATCACTGCAGGCATACGTCAGTATCTAACGTAAGAAGACGTTCACCTGTTGGGTATCACGCTCGAACTGTAATGTTGTCGTGGTTGTAATGCTTAACTCAGCAGGCATAAACAGAGGCAGTGACCTCACGAGGATTCTACGACTTCTAGTGGTCGAGACCCAATCGGATCTACATTAGATTATGTATTATCTACACTAAAGTCAGCATGCAAGTGGCACTTGCATGCTGAAGACTGGCATTGACTTTAGTCTCTTTCAATTAGGCTGAACTGAACTTCATTGTCAGCGTAATAGCAGGTTGTAGGGAAGGAATGCATGCCCATGTATGGTTTCGTACCTTTTATTTGGTGATGTCAAAGTCTTTTAAAATATGTGTATATATTATGATTGTATGTTTGTTTACAACAGTGGGCCGATATGGGCAGCTAGAATAGTACACATAGTCAGCAGTTAAAACTGGTGTAAAACACAAAACAGTCCCCTGCATGTAACTATGGCGAGGGGTTTTGTGTACGTGTGCCCTCCATGAACACATCTGTACTATGCTGTTATTTGTTACTCAGACCCGTCTCTGCTCTTTCCAGTACAGTGAAGGGGAAAATGTCCAGTATAAGCCCGCACTATGGTTTCCAGTCAGCCAGCATGGTGCAGCCTGCTAATGGCGGTCATGCCTATCTGTTTGGAAACAACGGCTCAGAGAATGACCTGTCGGAGGAGGACGGGGAGAGCAACGAGCTGCGGCCACGCGGCAGAGAGAGGCTGCGGAGAAGCACCTCCAGAGAGAAGATGGACGATATTATCTACCTGACCAGAGATATCCAGGAGGGGGACACCCTGATCAGCGTTTCCCTGCAGTACCATTGCTCGGTACGTGTATGCTAAGACCTGTGTGTGTTTCTTCATCTCTTTGATGAGTGAACACTCAACTCACCTTCATTTTGATAGATCCATTTTTTTTTCTTGCATAACACATGTACATACATTCATTGGCCCTTTTAGACCACGAACAAATTAAAAACATGTCTGGTAACTTAGTTTGGCTACGTATGTTTTTTTACATCTAGGCCAATCTGATTTCTTTAAATTCACAATATTTGATCTACTTTATCAGTTTAACAATCTATAGTAATTGATGTACAATAAGAGCTGGAGCATTGTGAATATCAAGATCAGAGACTAAACATTTACAGAAGTCTTCTTTGTACCATTGTTGCAAAAAACTGCATTTTTAAAGGAAAGCGGTCGCATAACATACCCTTTTTGTATATATAGCAATCAGCATTAGTATGCTACTATTATTTGCCTACTAGTATTTACTGCTGTAATCTGTATTTCGCTAGTTTTTTTTTTTTATTTGCTTGTATTTAATAATTTATGCAGTTTTCCTGCATTCTATGGTTGACTTTGAATCGACAATATTTAGACCAGTTAATATAAGTAGTTTGGCAGTAAGCAGCATTTGTAATTCATTTTTCTCCTGTGTGTTTATTAGGTGGCTGATATTAAGCGTGCCAACAATCTCTTGACAGAGCAGGACTTCTTTGCCCTGCGGTCAGTCAAGATTCCCGTGAGGCGCTTCAGTGTCCTTACTGAGACTCACAGCACCGGACCTCTTAAATCTGCTTCCCCTTCAGGTGCCAGGCGCCACCCCCAGATCTCACCCGTGACCTCCCTTCCCTACGAGTCCTCCACAGACTCTTCCTCGTCCACCGACAACGTGGAAGGATTTCTCATGGAGAAGGACAAGGACATTGAGCGGCTGGTGAAATCCACAGGTCCGTCTCGGAGCAGTCTGAACGAGGTTGTGTCCTCCTTAACGCTACAGCAGCCGCTGCTAGGAGAGTACAAACCCGTCCAGAAGAAGGACCCGTATTATGGGGCCGACTGGGGCATGAGATGGTGGACGGCTGTGGCCATTATGCTGGTTGTTGGCATCGTCACGCCTGTTTTTTATCTGCTGTACTATGAGGTTCTCGTTAAAGCAGACGTCAGCCATCATGGTAATCCTACACAACCTCATGACAACAGGCCTCATGGACCCCTCCAAGGCAATCATTTACACCACTCTTTTGAAGACAATAAGGCAAGTGATGGACCCAGACACAACGATGGTAACGTGGTTGATGGAGATCCACAGGGACATATGAACAAAGCAGCTGACGGTCAACACAAAGGGCATGAGAAAACATAAAAGGGATGAGAACCTTTCAAATGTGCTGGTAACTCAGAGACCTAAAACCATTGTGGATGTTAATTTTGTTTTTTATAGACCTACTACGACGCGATCCATCTGACAAGTCACTTTGTAGCGGGGGAATTCATTTTGATATGGTTGAGAAATGAGGAATAAATAAATGTCGTTCCTTGTCTGTCCATTTAAGTTTTCATCTAGGAGTAACAATGAGCTAAAAATGATATGCTTTGCTCAACGCCGATGTATCCATCTATTGGAAAATGTTAACTAAACTGGCAACATTGATGTTATCATATGCTGCCACATTCTCAGCAAGTTGCACACAAACTATATCCAGGGATTTGAAAAAGACTTACTGCAACACTAACCTACTGGATTTGGCTTTATTGAAGCTCACTCAACAGCTAACAAGGCAAAATCTTATTTTCATGGGGGGAGTAGGATTGCTGTCATGTAGTCTAATCTAGTATTACATTTATTTCAACATTCATTAAGATATGTATGCTATCAGTATTGAAAGGTACTAGTTGAATTGTGTTTTATAAAAAGGTTGCTTGAATGTTTCTTGCCCTTTGGCTTTCCTAAAGACACCGTCTTTTCTACTTTATTTCAAAGCACGGTGAGGGAAATGGGAAAAGCACAATACTCCCACAACTACTCATTTTTGGTAATGATGTGAGATACTTTGTCATATACTCCTTTTATTTTAATGTTTTGTCAACGTTGAACAACGGAAGAAAGCATGTGTTAACTGTATGTGCCTTTCAGCCTGTGGAATTGTGACACAGGCTGTAAAATAAATACATCTATTTTGAATAAATTATTGCCAGTGTGAGCAGAGTGGCATTTCTTATTTACACAAGTCTTTAAAGGAAAACCTGCCCCTCAAGATCACACAAACTATTACTCTGTTAAACACTATTTTCAACGTATATACACACACACAGACACTCTCTCATACACACAAGGCAATCGCGTAGTGATGGTTTCCTTCAGCAGTGAGTTTGCATGGTCGCTACGGTCTCAGTATGTTGCTTCGCCATCCATATTCTCATCACTGTCCGGAGCAAAATCTTCACCATTGTCAAAATAGCTGTCAATGTAGTCATTTTCCTACGGGTAAACAAAAGAAACATTGAGTCCGATATAAACTCCGCTTCATGCACATCGACCAAATTGGATTCGCTTTAAACAAATATGCCAAAAAACAATGTCAGGTTGGGATTTGTAATCTCACCTCCTCAACATCCTCCTCCTCAATATCCTCTTCAATATCTTCCTCATCCTCTTCCGCATTCCCGGTTTTCTTTTCGGTCTCATCATCTGATTTTTCAGGGTTTCCTTCATCTTTCTTTGCCAGGTTCTGAAATAATGTCAACAATAAATTATTTTAAGAAAATGTTTGCTAGTTCAGAAGGACATACATGGTTCTTGGTAAGTGCATATGTATATGCATACCCAGCTCATATGTACTACATAAACGCTGTGCCTTATGAATAAGTACTTGATGGACAACAGTACTAAAATTACCACAAATAAAGAAAAGCTTACATCTAATTTGTTCAGCATATCCGCCGCGTCTTTTCCTGATATCTTCACAGTTTTCTTCTTTGAACCTGCTGGATTTGGGAATTTTGTCTTTATTTTTACAGGAAATACAAATGAAATGAGGGTTGCAAATGGGAAGAACATTTCTGGAAAGTTTCCGGGAAACGTTAGATGGGAAGTTAAGCTCGGGAATTTATTTGAATTTTCTGCAAAAGCATATAAACAGGGAACTTAAATGTAGTTGAGAACCAGAAGCCATGTTCATTTAAATAGTTCATTGGTGTACGGCAGGCTAACTTCTTACAGCAGTGAGAGTAAGATGTATGTATGTTCAGACAAAAGTACATCATCACCATGATTACTTGCGCTTTTTGGGGTCCATCAAAATCCATGAGTTTGGCGTCTTATCATAAATACAAGTAATTGCTGCATATGAAATGCTGAGAAACAAAAAGGTAATTTCAAAACTATATTTTACTATATTTTTAGTTATTGTAATCAAAATGATTTTTTTCTCTCAACTCTACGTTGGGTAAAACATTAAACCGGAGGCTTGAGAAGCTTAATTGATTTTACATTTAGAAGTGGACTTTTTTTCAAGGTTGAGGTTTTTGTGGTTCAATGAACGAATAAAGTTCTACTCAAAAGTAGATTAAATGAAAAATATAATTTTTAAATTTCAATTTGGAAATGTTTGCCTGTATATCTGCTTATGACAAAACAAAATGTTATTGTATCATATACAACCAAGTAAGTACAGTTAAATTACTTTTAAGTTCTACGTTAAGTTTATTCCCACAAATTCCTTCATATTCCCGGTAATTCCCATGGAAAGATTCCAACTTTGAATGTTCCCTGATATTTTGCAACCCTGCACGACATTCATCGTGTGCATCGGGGTCGTCGTGGCGCAGGGGTTAGAGAAGGTGTGCTGGGAAGCACGAGGTTGGTGGTTCAATTCCAGGCTGCCCAGTGTTCCATGTCGAAGTGTCCCTGAGCAAGACACCTAACCCCTAATTGCTCCCCGGGCAAAAATGTGAAAAAAGCCATGGGTTTAAAAGTGTAATGTAAGTCGCTTTGGATAAAAGCGTCTGCTAAATGACATGTAATGTAATGTAAAAATGTAATGTGTTTAACATACCTGGTTTAGTACAAGTTTTTTTCTTCTGGGGCATCAATTCTTTTGGAAGGAGGCTCCATTCTAAAATATCACATAATCAAATAATATTTCAATTTATATATATATATATATATTTTTTTTTTTTAATTGACTTCAGTCTAATAACACTAATTAATGCAAGTACCTGGACTCCAATCCTTATCTTCCATCAGTTTTTGCTTAAGGTATCTCTCGGTGTATCTCTCCACTTCTGTTTCATGTAAACAAGAGAAAGTTCTGCATCGGTATAAAACAAATCCCAACATTCAGCAGTTTATCAGAACCATGAATTTATCAACACAAACCACTGGGTCTTAAGCATAATTCTTTATAACAACAATAAATAGTTTTAATAATTTGTCATACTCTTCTCCACGCGTGTGTATAAACACACACGTTTACTAGTGCCAAAACAATACTTTAATAGATGAAGTACGAGCTCATTGTGATAAGAGTTAATGCAATACTTGGAAAATAGAAAGCACTTTTTGTGAACTAGATTATGAATCTACCAAATTTTTGACAAGACACACGGAACTTAAATCGACTACTTGTTATGGATATATATTTAGAAGGGCTGCAACTAACGATTATTTTGCTAATCGATTAATCGGTCAATTATTTCTTCGATTAATCGTATTTTTTTAAAAACTGCATTAAAAAGCTTTAATTTCCAACCCTTTATTCTAAAACAGAACTTCAAATTCATCAGAACTAGTTCTCTATACTACACTCACAAACACACCCTCATGTTCACTTGAAGCATATTCATTAAATTATTACCATCATTGTAGTGCAAGTTAAGTAAATGCATACAGCTAAAAAACAACCAAGTGCTATGAGATGAATTTAATATGGCATTTGTAAATAAATGCATTAGAGGCTTCTTAGTTGATTTAATGCGTCTCCCTTTACAGGGATAACATCAACTACCGCACAACCCACAGTATATGCGCAAGCGCACTGGACTACCATATATGACAGCATTAAAAAGTACAACACACACAAATATATTTGTCAACAATAACCGATATGGGACAAAGCACAAAATATCAGACAACACATTGAAAAATGAATGGTCCAAAAGAGGCGAGTAAATAAAAACGTGTCTTAGTCTTGCTAACTGCTTCACTGCTGTTATTAGCGAGCTAACGCTAGCTTGATCAGCTGGATGACGAGTAAACAGGAGGCTTGTTACGTCCCTCACGTCAAAACGGGACAATATGGACCGGGACCCCCCACGCTCACACACCTTAGACGACAAGTCGAACAGACGTCTCTCCCTGTGTCATGTGACTCACAACAACTGCCGGCTGCTCCTTCCTCTATGTCGGTCGGCGCCTTTATTTTTATTTTTGCTCCGCGCGCATCTCCGCAACTCATTGAGTGACGTAATAATTGCGCGACACAACGAATCGATAATGAAATAATCGATTTTATCGATTCGTTGCTGCAGCCCTAATATTTAGCTCAAGAAAACTCTGAAAAAGACATTATTATCCCAGAGCACATACATAATATTAAAACTGCCAGATGAGGCAGCATCTGTAACTCAATATTCTGCAATAAACATGCCTTTCTCTCCTTCCTTTTCCCGGATACGACCCTAATGAAATGTCTCTGTTCCTAAGTGCTGCATTATCTTCCCTCCAAGTAGCCTACTTGTCTTGTCATAGAAATTCCATCAGATGTCAAGTTTCAAAGGCACTATGCTCCTCACCTGATTTATTGGACAAATGCTTAATGTGGTGCGGTAGCCGTTGCATTGTTCCCCTCATCTCCTGTTTTAAGGCCAGCATGTAGTCCTCATCCTCGCCCGCTTTCAGAGGCACCGCCTTAAAGTCGGTATTCTGAGGAGGAAAGATGACGGCGATAATACCAATGTTTGACAGTAATGCTACTTTTCACAGGGCATATGTTTGCAACAGCTTCTGGGGCAGATGTGAAAGAAAGATGTTAAGAAAAAGAAATTGACCACTGAACATCACGCCCTTGGTGGTCACATACAAAGCGAGGCTTAATATGCAAAATGGACAACTTACCTACAGGGAATTCAAAAGCATCGGGTTTATGGTGAATTGTTTGGGAATAAATATGACCAAATCAGTGGGCACAGAGGCAAAAAACACGCGATTCAATCCCTTCAAAGTCATACAGATAAACACTTACCTGAAATGTTGGTTTCTTTCTTGTGACATCTTGATAGAGAAGGTTTATGATATGTTGCCTTTGACAATGTGAGTACAGTATTCCAGTCATTCATGGGCTTATGAGCAAAATACCCATCAAGCGGTCATGTGTGTATTAAGCTAAGTGCTTGAAATGCACTTAAACGTTAACAGGATAGTGGATAATGCTCAGTAAAGGAGACGAGCCAATTGGTACACAAAAGTCATTAATTTCTCTGGCCTATGATTTCTATGATCTCTATTTGAGACATACATATTAGCTATTTTTACGTTTTACCCGTTCAATTTTTTCTTTGAAAACTACAAATATGTAATATTTCATTTATGCAAAACACGTTGTTTTTTCAAAGATCGTACTTTTGTTTAAACTTAATGGGGTATTTTTCTACTTTTTTTTTAGAGGTCATGGCTCACTGATTTTGAAACAAATATGGTATATTGCCCAATCCCATAATTGTTGTTCCACTTAGGATTTTGAGGACAATTTAATAGATGGCAATGTGAGATGTTATCCTGAGAACCCGAACTCTGTGTCTGCGTGTGTGTGTGTGTGTGTGTGTGTGTGTGTGTGTGTGTGCTGATCGGTACTTACTGGAAACAGCGGGTTGGGCCCCACCCTGGATTCTGGCATGCTGCCCCTGCCGATGCCCAGAGCCTCGACGTTGAAGGAAAAGGCCCCGATCCCTCGACCCCTGCCTGCCATTGCTGCGAGCCTCCTCCGCACCTGCGACACATGCGTGCATGAGTCCACATGCCGTCAGACAACTCGCTGTCCGACACGTGTACGCACAAGTTCACGCACTGCAGCGTGTTCATCGTCTGCAGCCTTTTCCCCAACCGTTGTTCAACGTTGACGAATCACACCATCATTAACACTCATACAAAGTAGTTATACTCACTATGGGACTGAAGTTTGCTCCTAACGTGGAGACGTATTTCAGTGCTGTTTACCCGGCATTTAGCCTGTACTAAGTCTCCATGTTTTCACTTTTGAATACCACTTGTCACGAACAGCTACTCAACTTGAGCTGTTGTTCGGCACGTAAAGTAATTCCAGAAAAAATCCAAACGTACAGCTGAATTTGCTCCGGCTTTGCAATGATCTCAATGCAGCCACGCTACACTCAGCAGGACGGCATAAACTGGACTACAACTGGCCCTGCCCCCCCGTGGTGACGTCGAAAGGGGGCGTGGTTTGTTTCGAGCCGACACAGCGGCGCGCAGTATGTTGTCGTCACCGGTGTGATCTTCCAATCAGCGCGCTCTCCTCCTCCTAAGGGTGTGTCGCCAGCTGCTATCCCTCAAACACAATCGCCGCTAGCTAACGTCAGTAGCAAATCTCGCCTGTCGAATCCCGTAAAAGCACGCAACGCCCGCCGCAGTTTGCCTCGACGAATGTGCACGCACTGGGATGTCTGCAGCCGACTGGTACGCTCACAAATCGCTCGGAGACGGACTCTTCTGGATCCAGGAGCGGTTCTACCAGTCGGAGAACCGGGCCAACATCTGGCTGCTGCGCGGCTCCCACCAGGACGTGGTGATAGACACCGGTCTGGGTTTGAGGAGCTTACCTGACTACATCGACGGCAAGGGGCTGCTCGGCAAAGACCCGCAGAGGAAGAACCCGCTGCTGGCCGTCGCCACCCACGCCCACTTTGACCACTCGGGTGGTCTTCATCAGTTCCAACAAGTGGGCGTCCACAGCGCCGAGGTCGATGCTTTGGTCAACGGAGACAACTTCGAGACGGCCACCTGGCTCAGCGACAGAGAGATCGTGGAGGCTCCCAGTCCGGGATGGAGGGCAAGGCACTACCGAGTCAAAGCTGTGCAGCCCACACACATCCTGCAGGAGGGTGGGTATAGGAGGTCTGAGGAGTAGAGATGCGATCGAAGGCTAGGTGATATACGGTCCCAACGCATCTGCCCAGGATATGCATCACGGTTGATACCACGAGAACATATTTAATGGGTGCTCCCAGTCTCAGTATTTTTTTTGCACACTTTGCAGTGTAAAAGAAAAGCTCTCGCTCAGCACAGGAGCATTTACCTGCACAATGAATGTGGTAGAAGACTAAAAATGACTTGCTAGATGAATGCACACACACATTCGTGCGCATTATAGAGTCATCTGACATATGTAATGCAGGTCTAACGCAGTGATAAGAACGTTCTTCATCTGAGCCTTAATGAGTGGTGCTTTATGTTACAAAGGATGTTGTATTTGCAGGAGTTCAATATGAGGTCAGGAGTAGTAGTAGTCAGGTGTAAATGATTTATTACATATACAATGGACCCCAGCTCAGTTTTTTCCCAAGCAAAACTATGCTGACAACAATGAATCCGTTTTTTTCCGTTTGCAGCTGCTGTGCATATTATTTCTTTGCAGAGCAGCTCTATTTTTATGACACTGTTACTTCCAAGACAGATGACAAGAAAATGCAGAGGGGGCGTAGTTTATGAAAGGCTTCCCATAGAGTATTAATAACCTCACATTGTTGAATTATGCAACAGCAACAGTGCTATTGGCAGTTACACGCATACAAAGCCACATTTTCTTCAATTTTGTCATGGTTTGTCATCACAAAGGTCTTTGCATTTAGGATTAGCAGCTCTGCTTTGGTTTGGGTCTGGACCAAAACAATTTTTTTTCCAGATTTAAGTTATTCCGCTGCTTCCGAGCCACTGCTGCAGGGCTGTGGCTCTGTTTCACCCTTCTGTTATAATTCGAGACTCGTATCTGGTCTGGAACAAATCAATGATGTACTCAATTTCCCTGACTCAGCACATCATAGTAATATGAGGTGAAATGAGAGAAAACACACATTTATGAGGAACAGAAGGATTTCGTTTGGATGTAAGCCTGGGATATATGTCCGTGATGATTTTGAAAACCCAATACTGTATCTCTCCAGGTGATGTCATCAACTTGGGTGACCGACAGCTGACGGTGCTCCACATGCCCGGCCACTCTCGCGGCAGCATCTGCCTCCACGACCGTGACAATAAGTTGCTCTTCAGCGGAGACGTTGTGTACGACGGCGCCATGATTGACTGGCTGCCCTACAGCCGCGTCAGTGACTACATCAGCAGCTGTGAGCGCCTGGTGGGGCTAGTGGACAGCGAACAGGTAACACTGAAACACACCAGAGGCTCGCCAACCATTTAAGCTCATAGTACCAATATTTTGAGTCGGATTAATTGAGCTTTCATGCACAAGGTATCCAATCGCATTGTTTACAAAATGTTACATTTTTGAGAAAAACAAATGGTGGTCTTGTTACTTTTTGACTATATTTTGACAGTTTTCCATTGTGTGTAGAACATAGGTGACTTTAATCCATTATACCCAGTGATGACAGGACAGTGTTTGTGTTGTTTGTCAAAGAATGCATTGTATGTTAAAAATAAATGGTATAATCCATGTAAATGCAAAGATTTACCATATTGGTTTGCTGTACGATATAGTCACCCTGGTCATCCATTCGAATGAGGATTTAGGAATTCATGTATTATGTATTGTACATCATAAGTTTAAAAAAAAATCCATTTAACAGGTGGACCAAGTCCTCCCAGGACACTACAACACCTTTGGTGCGAAGCCGCTTCACCGGATTGCATCCACATATATCAGCAGAGCTGCAACGTGCCCGGCAAAGTTCTCCACGTTTGCCTGGGGGACTCTGGCTGGTGTGGCGCTGCGGGCATTCAACCCACGGAGTGCCTGTTAATGAGAGGGGACCATGGAGCTGAAGGAAGCACAAGTGGACAAAGAGAGATGTTTAAATATGGAGGGGAGACGCCCCCGTTTAATCTGTAACATTGTTTATTTACATGTAATCCAACCAACATCAGAAAATTGCCAAATGTTCGGTAAAATGCCCCAATGGGGTTGCATAAATCAATAATCTGCATCATACGAAGCGTACAATATGAAGTATATATAATGGGATTCTGTTCTGTGCTATTTAATATTTATTAGGTTGAATAATATATTGTATGATTTTTATACTTTAAGCAGTTGTAAAATGAAACTAGCACAACGACGGTACAACTCTGCACTGCGAAGAGCAAGCCGAGTGAGTATGGCCATAGTATTTCTCTATGCATTTCACCATGCTCAGCGAAGACTCCGTGTCGACTACCTCCCACGTTTGTAACAGTGCTTTGTACTATGGACCAATCCAAGGCTTTTGGTACCGAAACCTTCATAATAAAGCCTCTGTTCTGCCTGCCTTTCTTGATTCATCTATTAGGACAGAAAGCCACACTTGAGTGGTTCCCACAAGATGGTTTCACCTGAGATTTATTTAGCTGGAGAGCAAAAGAGAGGAGCCGAGTTGGATATAATATGATCCATCGGATGTTCAGAGAGCAGAGCACTTACTGGTGGAAAAAGGAAGAGTGTTTCTCTCAGTCTGCTTTTCGGGTTTGCTATACAGAAATCAATATATATCAATATCAATATATTCTGTGCTACAGTATTACTGTAAATAGGAGATTTCTTCCATCCTTATTTAAAATAGTTTATGAACTTTAAATTTTACTCGACGGCCTTGTATTCATTATTTGAAGTTCAAGTTCAACATATTTGATGGTGACAATGTTATGGAAGAAAGAGCCATTTCTAAATTGATAAAACATTTATTAAAATTAATATTTATATTATTTAAAATCTCTCATTTTATGTTCGCCTTTTATGACGTGCAGACACATGCAGAACAAAAAGCCTACTAACATGAGAAAGATAACATTCAATGTTATTTATATGTAACAAATCTGCACATCATCTGTTAACGTAATCATGTGTCAATATAGCTGCGTGTATAATAAATCAAGAATGTAACAGAAGACAGGTGTATTTGTTAAAACTGAATTTACAGTAACACTTTCAACAGTTTTAAGGATGTAACCAAAGTAATATCCACAGTAAACAATGCAGACCGAGTACTCAGACCAAGACTCTACCACAATATTTGAGTTGGACGATAGTTTTCTTGTGATAAAACCCCCTGCAGTACTAAATATAAATATATGGCAGTGTAAATACACTAGTTTATTCTTGCTTTTACTATCTTGACCTATAATTTGACTGGGGTTTCATGCAAGTACTCTGCTTCATAGAAAGTTGCCGTGGTATTCTAGGCCACCGCAAAATATTCTCAAATAAATGTCTCTGTGTTGCATAATATTTCTTTGGTGGATGTTACACCATCGATTAGAAATTCCAAAATCCGCAACTGAGAATCTTAATAGAATCCACAATGCTGCAGCGTCGCAGAATCATAGGAAAGGCTTTTCAACAAAACATTTCAGCTTATTCTAGTGTTTGTTCTGTGCATGAGGGATCTATTCCCCACTGACGACGTCAGTAGTGGGAAGTATGTGTGACAGTTCAGACCAGCGGGCAGAATTTTACCCATCAGAGATCACAGTAATAACCAGTTAAGCTTTTGCCAGATTCATGGCGATCTGATCTCGAAATGATCTCAAGCCGTTAAACATTTGAACTTTAAGTCGAATCATGTGCAAAAACAAACAAAATGGTGCATAGTAATTTAAAGAGAACCACAAAAATCATCTGTTGTATGGATATTTAGATGCATACACTAAAGTAGACACAGTAGACAATACAAGCTCCCACCTTAACCTTCACACTTTACAGTTTTTAACATTTGAAAAATTATGATGGATTATGCCACATGTTCTTCTTCCCACATGCTCACCGGCTTTCATAGCATAACCACTGCAAACTCTATACAATACAAATAGAAAACAACTATTCCTAATGCTGCTAGTGCATTAATAGAGATGATTTTGAAACCTTATTTGGATTGCTCATAAGGTAACAAATAACAAAACCAGTTCCAGAGTTAGAGTCCAGGGACAGACAGAAGGCCCCGTGAGGCCTGATGATTAGAGCAGATCCTTAGCTCTTAGCATCACTTTCTCCCAAGCAGCATGACCATAATCACATCTGTAAGCAAGCAAAGTACCTCCCATTTACTATTGGATCACCTTAAAAATTGTGGCGAACCAGCAAAACGCAGTCACCTGCAGTGATTGTCACCTGTCCTTTGTTTTAGAAGACATGCCAGTTTGCCCATGGAGGATTATTCATGATCCATCCTCCACCAGGATGCAGTAAAGGAAGCTCGTCCTCCTCAGGGCTGTACATGTGGCCTAGCTGACTGCCCTACTGTTCACATCGATGTTAGGCCAGTTAAAACATGCTTTCAACTTCTAACTCTTGCCTTTAGAATAGTGTAAAATGTCTGCCAGAGCGGAACAAGTTCACACCTGACTTTGGAGCCAGTTGCGAGGATCAAGTCTGGCTTTGAGGTTCCTGAGGCTGCGCCGGGCCGGGGAGGGCCTGGAGAAGGGGGCTCCCTCAGACGACTCAAGGCTGTGGCTGCCCTCACTGTTGCTGGAGCTGTTGCTGGAAGTGGAGCTGGAGCAAGAGAGCGTGGTCTGCGTGCTGCGCTGTGACCGAGGCGAACAGGAGGAGATGGGGAACGGGGTGAGCAGCGAGGAGGGAGGTGGCTGGCAGGGGCACTGCAAGGTGCCTCCTCCTCCGTACACCCTCCCTCGAAGGGTGCTGAGCTTAGCATCCAGCGACAGAGTGCGTGGCCTCAGGCGGCAGGGTGAAGATGACCCGAGAGGGAAGTTCGAAGAAGGCTCGGGCCAGCCATGGCGGTGGAAGCAGGGGCTGGTGCTGCAGTGGCTGTCGCTGTCCGAGGTCAGGCTTGCATCGGAGGACAGCAGACTCAGCTGTGGGCAGCGGTGAGGGCTCAGAGGGCTCCGGGGCGGTCGATGAGGGATGCAGGGGCTGTGGCCGGAGAGGCGAGAGGTACAGGGACGGGGGCGGACAGTGCTTTTGGGACTGTTCTCCTCAAACACAGACATCCAGGTGGGGGACGTTCCCAAGTGGCTGCGGAGCTCCAGCTCCTGCATTCTCCGAGCCAGGATGTCTGACACCGTGGTGCTGAGGTCGTTGGATGACTCAATAACTGCAGGAGAGATGCAGCAAACCTCTTTATTACGCTGCTGGATAATGGGCTCAAGCCTGGTTTTTCAAACTGGAAGTTCTTAACATTTAAATCTTTGGACATTTGGAACAAGTTTCTTAATATTCTTTTATTTCTTAGGGCAGGGATTGTGATGATTTCAACGCAAAATAGCTAAAACTCTCACTAGAAATACGGATAAATAACATACAGACATACACTGTTTGTGAAATGTTAATATTGCCATCAAATTCTATTTGATGTCTGGCAATGCATAGCGCCCAGTGTCCTGAATATGAAAGAAAAATAACAAAATATCTCTTGTAATATGCCTCCTGCACATCCTGGTGTTTATTTAATTATGATGTTTTGATACTGGAATTGCAGTAAATCCCGGACTGCAACATTTACCTCAATAAAATCTATATGGAGCCCTATTCCAGTACTTCACCTGTCGTTGTAATAAGACGAGAGCAGAGCACGAATCTCAGCAGACACGGCATTATCCTGCAGCAGGAGACCCTCAGAGGAGGGTGTGGCAAGAGGGGCTGCCAGGGAGGGGTTAGGAAAACCAGGAGGGAGGCGAGAGAGAAAAGGGTGGAGTGCAAAGGATGTAGGAGGAGTACAACCAGTTGGGTTCAGTTTTGATACGTTTGATGGTCATGAGAGAAATCGATGATGGTTGATTCATATTTATTGGGGAAATTAATGTTAATGCATGAAAGGATTAAGAAAAAATGAACGGTGGAGTTTGATGAAAAATAGGAAGGAAATAATAAAGGAGGACAAAAAAGACAGAGCCCGTGAAGGATTCGGCACACAATAGGAAAATTGGAAAGGACAAAGAGGAACAGAGAAACAGAAGACATAGAGCGTCAGCGTCACAGATAAAGAACCCAATCTGTTCTACAATACAGAGAGAGTGAGTTTAATATTTCAGAAAGGAAATTTTAATTGTGACAGCATCTCTCATGCACACGGCATCAAGGAATTAAAAGGTACACACAGTCACATGCAAAGCGGTTCTTTCCCTGCTTTCCAGTTTGTTCTTCCGGATAATTTCCTCGGCTAAAAATGAGCAAAATATTTTTTGCAAGTTACAATCAGAGAGAGCTCGTACCCATTTCGTGATAGAGTGAGCCCTGTTTTGGTGTGACAGGAGCTGGTTTCCTTGGTGATGGCATTTCAATTTTCATTACGTCATCACAGCACTGTTTCCATTGGCCTGTACGTTGGAGAGTTGGAGAAACTGTCACTTTAAAGCAGCAGATCCAGAATATACAAGTGTATGTCCTTGAATTTGAGTCCTCTAAGTAGTATGCATGAGTGTCTGTATGATCACACACCTCCCGTGTAAGAGCCTAGCCAGTACTTACTCATGTCGTAGAAATGTTGCCAAAAGGCCTCCATCCAGCGGTGTGTGTCCTCGCGGCTATCTGTTGTCAGGCTGTGTGTGACCTCCTCACCTCCGTACTGATTACTGATACAGATATTCTGAACTTTACTGTGAGGGTCTTTCTCAGACGCACGTATTCTGGTCTCCTGAAACAAAGGAGCAACAAAGATTAGTTATGAACCACAAAATTAGTATAATCAGGAAAGAATGCCGGCACTCCTGAATTAACAACATGTGATTATTACGGCAATTGTAATTGTAATTCCCCACTACAAATAAGCCCTCCATCACTAATTAGTCCTCTTCCAATCCATTCCCCATGTGCAATTAACCAACAAATAATGCAGCCTCCCAGAATTCCCACATCTTCCTTCTACTACAAATGTGAGCTCATGACCACCAGATGGCAGTGTTGTTCCACTCATCTAATCGTCACCCTGCTCTCCCTCCTCTTTAGAACAGAAAACTGTATGACAAAGGATCACGGCAACCTGATCTGACTGACTAGGCTTTAAGACTGCTGGGAGATCAGGGTCAGCTGCTCCAAAAGACTCGATGAGTCAAATGGAAGGAATAACAAGCCCCAGAGGCATCAACTCCCAGACACAGGAAATAAGATGATCAAGAACGTCACTGTCTGAACGACCGGATGAGACAATTATGATAGTTGTTATATAATTGGGACTCACCCCTTGGTCTTATTGAATTTATAAAGACTCAAGACCTTACTGAACAGATTTAGTCTTTTATCAGGACATGCCTGCTCTTGTCTAGCATTCCTCAACGTTAACACAGTTACACTGGAAAGCTGACAGAATTAGAGTTTTCTATGCTTGGCTTCTGAGCAGCTCTACGGGGGCAACTGAGGGCTGAGTGCCTTGCTCAAAGGGCGCCCTTAGTAGCAGATCAGAGAGGAGCTCATTTCTAACTTGCTTTGGCTCAGAGTCAACTGATTTCCTTGAGATTCAAAGTGGCACCAATCCAAAAACCCAAATCCTTTCCATATACACTGCTGATGCCTCAAGCATTACTAAAAACAACACAGCTATATAGGTTGTGTCATGTCAGTCTGGCTCAGCCTCCGGAGTCCTGTACTCCTTTCCAGAGAGTTTCTCTCATTTATCTGATTTCTGACCTTGTTGACGGCAATAGTGAACGCTGGCTCAACGTTGGCCTCCACATCCTCTTGCTGGTGGTAGCAGAAAAGGCTTGTTCCTTTTACAACGGCATACACTTTTTTCCAACTCTGAGGGTCACCTCCCAATTGCTGTGGGGCAGAGTAAAAGATCAGTGGAGTGTGGATTAAAAGTCAAAGAGAGCGAGATACAAAGAAATACGGCAACACACGGAGAGGGGGAGGAATGTGGAGGAGGAGAAAAGGATAACCAGGACAAAAAAAAGTCTTTTGAAACCCTGAAATGCGTAGTTACCGCACACACACCTGGCAACTTACCTTGACTTTCAAACATCCATTCATCATCTGTTGGGTCATACAGTGAGGCTGAGCAGCGAGGCGGCAACACATACTGCCGTAGAGCGGCAGCCAGTACGAACACTCCTCTGCAGGGAAAGAGAGAGCGTGGCCATAAATAAACACCATGAAAAAATATAACAGTATTTTCCACATGCCATTCAAGCTGCCCACACAAACATGTATAGTCATGTGCCTTCAAACACTTCTTCTTCTCATCATATTGCCCCCTTAAGAACAAAAAACAAGGCACCGGGGTATAAAAGACCGGCAGCTGCAGGGCGTGTCATGAGGTGCAGCGATAAAACTTTACAGCAGGCTGAAGGGCCAATGAATAAAACACTAGGGGCCTGTCTGTCTGAGGGCCTGGGCCCTTGTTAGCCCACATCATTACAGCTTTACGCAGCAGTCACCTCATAGCACAGCCTTTATTACTGTGACCGGGACAATGGCTGTCTTTCAGAGGACACGGAAAGACCGACAGGAAGGGTGGCAGGGGGACGGGGAGTGAAGCCGCGCGGATCAGTCGGTTTAAAGGTAATGATTAGGATGCGAAAAAAAGAGTGACACGGTGATGAGTGAGGGAAGCGCAGAAAAAAAGCGGACAGATGGCTGAAATGGCAGAGAAGAGAGAACGGCGGTGAGGAGACGGATTGGAGGAGGCTGCCACTCACCGTTGCCTGAGATGGTGAGGTCGTGTGTGCGAAAGCTGTCCTGGACGTGCAACAGTGACAGGCTGGTATGAGCTAAGAGGTGGTACTTTGGGCCACTGTCAACACACAACAAAAGGAGAAGGGAAATGATTTCCATAAAGAATATATAGAATCTCTCTCTCTCTATTCAACTAACCAAGTAAAGCTTAAACTTACGGCACAGAGGGAACCGGCAGCAGAAGAGGACCCGCCCCTCCGTTGCTAACAGGACTACATGGCCCAGGCTCCATGGCTGCCCGGAGCTTCTTCCCGGCTGATCGCCCTAGTGAAGAGCTCAGTTTACTGGCTAGTTTCCTTGGCGTGCTGCCTGCTGAGTAGTCATCTTCTGAGCAGCAGCTATACAGCTCAACACGCAGTTCAAAACCCGGGCTGGCCTCATTACTGCGAAGAGGTACAAGACAAGATTAACATGGATATATTCGTTTTTCTTATTTTTAGTGTTTCAGCGTGAGACGGATGACTTACAAAACGATGGTGTTGTCAAAGCAAATATCAGTGAGCGTGCGGTCCACTATCACCATGTCCGTGTCAAAGATCTCTCCTCCCAGCTGCAGCAGACAGAACACTGCACACCGATGGAGCTCTAAGAAAGGATGAAGATTAAAGGCACCACATAAGAGAAACGAGAGGTTTATGTGACATCTTTTGTTAATCTGCACCGCTAGAATTTTCTTCTTTTTTTCAGCAGCATATAGATCACCACTTCCAAAGTGGAGATAGCTGCTTTAACAATGTGTTGAGACCAAAGAGGTAATATGACCACAGTAGTTAAAGGTGAAATAAGATCTGCTCCTCCACCTGCGTGACGAGCACTTCTACCGTTCAGTTGAGCAATCTGTGGACTGGCCAGCTGTGCTAAGAATTCCTAACAAGCAGTGAAACTGAAGCACAATAGGTGTTAAATCCTGCAGCAGTCAATTAAAGCTATGACAACTATTGCTGTTTATATACACATTGTGAAAATATACATGTGTATTTTTAGAGAAGGAGTGATATCTTGTTGAACATGCATGAATAAAGGTAACAATTACAGTGAATCATTGTGCCAACACACCAAAATATTAACACTGTGGCATCTATATAGAAAATGGTACTCTGGGTATCATTGATGTGTTTAATGTAATTGCCTCTATCTTTATTCAATTAATACTGCGGGAAAAATAATCTTTAGCCAACCCTAGAATTTTTCAGCAGAAAATGGTTAAAAGATAAAAAAAATCTCCCTATTTATGTGCTTCTCTGTATACAGCACATTCACACTTAACATTCCAAGTGTGAGCTCAACGCTCTGCTCACAATGCGATGGACACGTGACAGAGGAACATGCTTTGCTCGTTCTCACCAACCAGGTTTTATGTCTCTATGCGCCAAATGATCTTGACTAACAGTCTCATTAAGCTTTGTTAAGAGTCCACTACCTGTATCTTGAGTTAATTTATATGCACAGGCCATGCACATTAATTCCATTCAAGTTGCCAGGAGGGAGAGCGAGCCCTGTTGTAATGACTGCAAGGGAGTTCACCCACAAGGACTTTATCAAGAGGAAAGCAAATATTGTAATATTGTTATATTTTCAATGCACCACTGAATTCTGACTCGCCATAACATGTTTAACTCTGAAATGGTACAGAGTAATAGTCCACAGAAATAAAAACGGGAGTTTCTTAAATTACTTAATTTAATGTCAAATGCCCTGCCAATAATGTGCTCCTGCTGCTGCTCCTCAGAGCCGAGAGCCAAAGCCAGCAGGACGGAGCGATGGGTCAGGTTGGGCTGCCAGGAGTTCCTCATGTCTACAAAAAACGGTTCCTGGAAAATACTAAAATGTCTGGTAGAGCTGCAACAGACTGTAATAATCAGCTCCAGGAACCGTGCTGTGGTCAATGAATAGAAGAGGAACAGCCCAACTGTATGATCCATCTGCACAGTTCAGTAGGTCGAGGGATTTTTCAAATATGAATCTCAAAGTCCACATCAGTGTTTAAAAATGTGATCAAATTTATTTTGCTCTTCAGTCCCGCACTCGCAGGGGTTATATAACATCCAACCGATTAGAATTAGCCATTTCATAACTATGTGTGTAGGCACAAACCATTCCCTCAAAAGCAAATCATTAATAAATACTTCAGGCATAAATCCTTAATACTCCCATCAATAAAATCATTCACACATAGAGAATTGGATCCTCACCTCCTTTGTTCTTGAAGTACTCTGTGTCTTTCCACATGAGAGGGATACGAAGATCTGTAATGACAACAGACAGGGGATTAGACCACAAAAATGTTAATCACCCTTGCTGTCTAACTGAAGTGTGTATCTGATTGTGCGTCTCCTCACCCATTCTGCTCTCAGTCACTGGCTAAAGTATCCTCAGCTAATTACCTTCTGTGTATCTCTCCAGCTGGGTACCAGACGTGCAGCAAACGCAACTCCATCCCCAAAACACACACACGTTCCCCGGTCTCTCATCTCATTAATATCTATATACACAATCTATTTTACCTTCTCATCATGAATTAAAAACAAACACAACGTGAACGTTTGTGTTGGAGTCCCAGGTGTGAATTATCTCCCTGCAGTGCGTCTGCAATGCAAACAGAGTAGCTCCATAATTATTCATCTGACTGCCCGCTGTCATACTGCAATAGGCAGCATCTGCCAGTCAGCCTCTGCCTGAAAAGAGGAGCTTTGCATTAAATAGTAACACTAAAGGGATCACTAAGATTCAAGGTTCTCTATAGCCGGTATGCATTTAAATATCCAGCAATAAATAAATGAAGCAAATACCTTCCATAATCCTGTATAAATTGATCCCACAATATCACCTCCAGGCGTTTAGACAAGGTTTTACTTGCCTGAGATGGCCACTTTTCCTTTGCACGGGAGTCTATCTTCCATCGGCCCTGCGTCTGATGACCTCCGCGTGACCTTCTGCATGACCTGAGCCTCTTTCATCCTCTGCAGCTCTGACATATAGGCCATAATACGTGTGCTGCAGGTCTGCAAGCTCTTTGCCGCCTCCAACGTCTGGTCTTTCTGGGAGCAGGCGGCCAGCAACTTGCAGGCTCCGTCACGCATACGGATCTCATGGTCGATCTTCTTCTGGATGTCACTGTCCTGCAAAGACAAGGGATGGTGGAGAGGGGAAATGAGCCTTAAAGTACGGATAACAACACATTTCTCCAACGGATTGCTTTTTTATGGCAAGAAAGGGAGGGCTAAAGATACATCAAGAGTTTTAGTCTGCAGTACATTACAGGTCTCTTGTGAAGATCTGTCTCTGAAAGCACTTAAGAGTGTGTCAGTGTGCATGTGTGTGTGTGTGAGAGAGAGAGAGAGCGAAATGATCACACGTGGCCTTTCGCCCTCTTACCAACCCCCTGCTGAGAGACACATGGATGCTTAATCATTTAGTGCAAACTTAAGTTGTCAAATCCTCAACGTCTGCAGCCTTAACAAGACACAAAGGTCCTTACACAGACCAGAAGCCACGGCCCCTTTCCCTGAGCTACTTTCTTAAAGGGAAAAATACAATATTGTTAAACTAAACATCACCTAGCTTACATGGTGCAAACATACTATGCACACGTATGCAGGGATATACACACCAGAGACAAATGCACACATGCTCAGACACATGTAGACAGTAAAGGTCACTCAATCCATAACTGTCTGTTTAAACTGGACAGCATCAGGCAGAGCCAAAATCTCTAAGGCCCTCTCAACTTTGTCAGCAGCACAAAAACACTGGATGCATGAACTTCAAACATGTGTAAGTGAGGGGAACAACTAGCATATGAGGTGAGGAGAACGAGAGAGCATAAATCAAACAAGACCAAAGAAAGGCAAAGTCGGGGTGACCTTGAGTGTGAGTGCAAGCCTTCTTTATCAAGCTAAAACACCTTCGCTCTGCGCACATCAATGGCTTCCATCCAAGGTTGTTTTTAAAGAACGGCTTCAATCAAAGATTATGGCTACTCTCTCTTTATCGTCAATCAATTAACAAATGCCATGACCTGCAACATCTGCCCAACTGCTGGAATATTTGTATGTGTGTGTGTGTGTGTGTGTGTGTGTGTGGACGCTTGTCCTCTTCAGTAGTACATTGACAAGCACTCTACTCCAGGGCTCCCTTTGCCCCTCTTTTCCCAGCCCTCTCTCAGTCTGACAAATGCACCTTTTCCTCCTCTACTGCAATGTTTCTCTTCTAGAGTCTCTCTCTGGCTGATTCTTATGCATTTTCTCCGATTTAAGCTTTTATACTTTCACTGCTCATTTTCTTTCTGCTTTTTCTCGCACTCGTTCGTTCTTCTTCACTATCCCTTAATGCCTTCTTTCTTCCCTCTGCAAGTTCAGAGACTTGCAGTCCCACACTTTTTGCAACACAGGGCATTTCAAGATGAGGTTAGGTGTGGTTTCCCATCAACCACAGTCCAAGAAAAAACTAATTTGTATCCTTCGGATACAACCACACTTGCTCTACATGGTGGTGAAACCTACACTAAGAGTTGTAAATCACACAGATCCAGCTTCTCTAGTCCCCGAACCAAACCACCAAAATACTAAAACACTGAGTTATAGTCCGGCATACATTACAATGTCACTTGATACAATAACATAGTGTAATATTAAAAGAGCCTCTGGTGATTACTAGCAATTTCCTCCTCAGAAACACTGCCAGGGACTAATTATTAAACAAAAGCGAGCATGACCGTGTACTTATACTAATTAAGATAATGATCGGTTAAGAGTTGTGTACAATGTACGTTGGCTGTTGAACACAAAAGTGGCTACACATAATAACACAATAAGCCTGCAATTAAATAAACACATTCACTGACTGTAAAGCAATCACAGAACTCGTGCGAAAAAAAGGGGAGCAAATTACAGCCATGTAGCACTTAGCTACTAGATGATTGGTAGGTACAAATTTGAGGCTATTCCAGCATGTATTGATGTTTTTGATTGTTATGCAGTGAATTCTTCAAAGATCCTTTAAGAACGAGCAACATGTGTGTTTTCTAGATTACCAATATTACACTAATGAGCCTAAACTTTAAAAATGATAGAAAAACAAACATGAAAACAACCAACTGTTTGCACAGGTTGAGGAGCTGTCGCCACAATCCAGTTTTATGCAGCGGGATTAAAAGTGACCTGCTAGGAGGGGCTCTGTATTTAGAGCAGCTAAATTAACAGGCTTCGCCTTAAGGGGGATCCCAGAATAGAAGACTAACAGCCAAGATCTACCTCTAATCCACGCGTCTGGTTGTATGTCGGGCTAATAACAGTAAAACTGACAAAAAACACTTTCAGACAGCAAATCAGAGAGACACACACACACACACACCAAACAATGTGAGAAACTCATTTCCTCTTCATAGCCTTTCCTGAATGCTCCTATGCACACACAAATACGCCCTTGCAAACACACACGCGGTCACGACGATGCTCTCACACAATGTCTTAAGAGTGGCAGGTGTCGGCCCGGTGGGCAATGACAGAGCGGCGGCCTGCCTCCGATCGGGGGAGTGTGGACAGCAGCCAGATAGAGGGTGACGGAAGGGTGGATTGGCGACAGGGATAAAGTGCATGTTGGGCATCAAGCGGCGACACAGAAGGGAGGCGGTGTTGTCAAAGGAAACAGAGGGAGGGGGGGCGGGGTAGGGGGCTGGAGAAATGAAGCAGCGAGGTGGTTGAGCGAGAAGAAAGGAGATATGAGTTGACAGGCGCGAAAGGTCAGGGTGAGTTTAAGAGACAGTTGGGAGTAAAAAAAAGAGGCAACAAGGGAAAGTACAAGAGTAAGGAAAGAACGGGAGAAAGCGCCGAACGTCAAGAGATGAGCAGGGAATATATCGTATGAGGAGGGATGGTTGGGGAAGAGAAAAAAAACATATTTTGGCAAAAGAGAGGTGATCTCTTGAATCAAGCGATAAAGAGACAGATTTAGCAACAGAACATAGATAGTGGGTTATATATGAGCAAATCAGTTGCTGGGGGAGTAACACAGCATAAAGCTTTGTAAGTGAGTAGACTTGGAAATAAATGGGAGTGTCTTTTTCTTAGAGGAAAAAAAAATACACTACATATACAATACTGTTACACTAATGGTTAAAGGCAGAAAACTTCATATATATATATATATACATATATGTAATTTTGCGTGCAGAATTAAGATGATCTGCATATTGTTACCTCATACCTAAACCATCATTGTTAAAAACCACGCCAGAGTGGGTTTGGCTGTTTAACACAAGGCTGGTGGATCCCTGTCCCCATTTTGAGGTGTGCTTATGCAAGTGTGTGTGCCAAAACATTGCTCTGGATAAAACAGTCCTTCAAATAAATGTAAGGGATAACGTAACAAAGAATAGATCAGCAGTATTAAACAGTATGTTTGGAATGATCCACTGTGTGTCACACACAGTTTGACGCATGGTAACCTTTCAGCAGGTCATTTGATGCCTCAGTAGATACCAGATGGTCACTTCCTCCATCACCTCTCTGACCCCGTCTGGCTGTGTGCGTTGATCCTCACTAGCGTGTCTGTGGGTGTGATCACGGGGACACTAACCCACACACCTACACAAACGCACGCATGCTGGTTCGGGGATTTGACGCCGCTGCAGATGGTGTGTAATGGTTTGTTTACGATGTGTTGATACACACGAGTAGGCTTTCCTGTTCAGATCACTGACCCTTGACCTCTGAGGCCCTGAGCAGACCAGGTGGCCGCTGTTACAGCATGGAATTCCATGGGATTAGATTAGATAACACATGCATATTAACAGCAAGAAAGCAACACATGTTGCTTAGTACAGTAGAACCATATTCATTCAAACTACGTGAGAATGGCGGTGGGGAGGAGGAGTCATCACCTGCCTCAGCTACTGTAGTGCTAATTAGCAAGCGTGTGTATGTTATCATGCTGCACTAAGATGGTCAATGTGGTAATAAATTACCTTAAAAATGTCAGTATGTCAGCATTGTCCTTGTGGGGTATTTCTAGGCTGCTTGCATTAGCAATTCATACAGAACAGTGTTGCAGCCTCACAGTCAGTCTTCGGTTTACTGTAGCAAGCATGGGCCAAATACTACGTGCATTTCTGAAACATGTGCTCACACACAACAAGCATCAATGTTGATATCAGTAAAGAAATTGCTCTTTCTGCATTTGCATGGAATCTGCATTCTCCAGCTAAAGGCTGACTTCTCCAACCACAGTCAAACTGTGGTGCTTCTCTCTCTTCACCAACACTGCAGTCGTTTTCTTCCTAAACAGAAAATACGTCACAGCCGACTGCTCGTTGGACAGACAGAAAGAGGTTGATGGAGAATAAAGGAGAGTAGCAAGGGGAAAACAGAGTAGGACTTAGATACACTCGGACACATTGACACAACTGTCTTACTCACTCACTGACTCACTCACTCAGTCTCTCTCTCTCACACACACACACACACACACACACACACACACACACACACACACACACACACACACACACACACACACACACAAAATATGCTCTCTATCTCCATTTCACATAGACAAACATCCAAGAATTGGAAATTCCTGACCGCTCCCATGCAGGCTTCAGTGACCAAACTGTTGGCTTTCAATTAGCCAGCCACAACTATGTGCCTCGCCTTCCTCTCCACCCTCTTCCGCTGCTTTCCCTCATGTTCCCCCACGGCTCGAGTTGAGGATGGAGGGAGCAGTTAAGAGTGTAAAAAAAGAGTAGGGTATCAAATAAGAGAGGGAAATAAATCAATGGCAAATTAGCTAACAAAGAGTTAGCATATGATAGAACATGAAAAGTGGGAATGATGTAAAACAATATACAGATAGAGGTAAGAATAAGGACATGGATAGAATATGGGTGAATTGCTAGGATGTTGGTAGAGGAAGCCATACAGATGCAAAACAAAAAAAAGAAGCCCTTATACGTAGATAAATGTGTAAAATGATTGATGGAAAAAGAACCACTGAAAAACAATGATCCAATTCCTCCAACAGGGTCCCTTCTGTGCCGCGTACTGCAGCTGCTGGAGGCCTGGGCACAATGACAGTGAAAGGAACTAGATTGCTACTGGTCAGACGGAGCGGAGGGAGGTGT